TTATATTAATGTCTGACTGATTAGCATGGCAAGCATGAAATCTAAGTTTGCAAAAGATAATAAAGAGCCAAATAGTGGAATAATACAATTTCACACAGATGGAATATTGCATGAAGAGCAACAGGCCAGCTATGTGGTAACACGTACAGAGGTGGCATAATTGGCCCCTTCAAATTCCCCATGGGCAAGAATTTAAAAGCCTCTTAGCAAAACATGTTGTTGTCAACAAGACAGCAAGTCAGATCTACCAAAAGCTACAACACTAGCATAGTTAAAAACACTGTATGTAAAAATATGCTTTTGTCAAAAGAATGTTGTAAATGGTGATATCCTCACCCTCAGTTTTGAGTAAACAGAACTGTTTTAATTTACATTCCTATATACAGTTGTAAATATATTTACATTTAAATATGTACTTACATACTCATATTAATATGTACATTTAAATTAGCTTGGGCTCTGACTCCTCTGATCCTCAAACTTCTTCATACAGAATTAACCTTGCTAGATGATTGTGAGCAGAAATACCCCCAAGCCTCAAGCTACTTTTCTAAGAGAGATGGAGTTAGCAAGATTTTTTTTCTTAAAAAGTAGGCAAAATTGTTTATTCAACAGCTCATGTAGGAAGAATAATCTGATCAGAGTCAAAAAACAGAAAGGAAAGTATCAGCCACCTATTCCCTTTTTAGACTGTTTTACCTGTATGGACTCCATCGGAATATATAAATAAAATACAACACAGGCTTCAAGGAACTGTCAGCTCAGAGAGCCATTCTTCATTCAGCCCCAGATCTGTAAGAAAGTCGCTACTGCTGTTAAGTAAGGCTGCTACATGCGAGCACATGTAGCAGGGACATTCCCCAAGTGTGCTATTAGGCTGGGCTATACAGCTACAGGACAGCAGGTTGAAGAAAATGAACTTTTTTTTCTTTTTTTCTCCCAAACAATGGAAAGCTTTCTCTTTAAAAGCTACAAATTAGAATTGCTTTGCTGATGATAAGCTCTGGCTTTTGTTGAGCAAACCTTAAGCCAGGAGTTCCTGTATTTTTTTCCAGACATGATCTCTAGAGACTTATGCTGCTCTTGCTCCTGTAGCAGTCACTGTTCCTTCTGCAAGTGTTATTCCCACTGCTTCACCAATTTCCAAAATGCCAGTTTTCTTGAACTGGCTGAAATCCAATAGCTGATGTCTTGTACAGGGGCTCCCTGCATTCGGTACTGCTACTAAAGGGTCTTATGCCCTGTGTGGAGGCTGCAATTTCTGTGTGTTGAATTATACTTCTCTCCCTCGAACGTGAACAGAAAATGTTTGCCACATCCCGAGGGAGCTATTATGTGGGCTAATAAAAAATGTCAATTTAAAATCTAAGGGTTTGCGTGGTTTTTTTCGGGGGGGGGGGGGGGGGGGTTTTTTGTTTGGGTTTTTTTGTTTGGTTGGTTGGTTTCGGTTTTTTTTTTTCCTCGTGCTGGTTTCC